AAGTGACGGCAACGATGGAATGCAGTTGAATTGCAGACAGAGATAGAGATGGACAGTTGGGTCGAATGCGTGTGTCGTTCGTAGTGAATTATAGCGTTTGTATAAGTTATAGCGTGACTGTGGAAATTATGTGAATTTCAAAGTTGTATTGAGAAAGAATAAACTAGTTTTATTTAAGAAAGGACTTGTGTCGCTAAAGTTTCTTCGGAAAGAATTTTTACGGAAAATTAACTAACGACCAGAGACGTAACAGTATCACGAACCATGGAATTGGTACATAATAGGGATATCCCATTCGGTCTTCTTTCTTATTATTTAGTATTGTTCCGCCAGCCTACAGCAAAAATGGCTGGATTTATTGTAACAAAACCTGGGCAGTATTACTAAACGCCTCATTGCGCATTGTGTAGGGTAGTTTTTAAGTTTATTTGACTACCTAGCAAATAACAGCAGTTGTATAACCGTTGACACCCAATCGTTTTAATGTATTCAGTGGTTTTTGTAGAGTCTCATAATCTAATATACATGCATACGTATATAGCTACGTGCAAGCTGTGGATTTAATTTAATGTTTATATGGCAGGTATGACCCATGTATCACAGCAGTTATTAACTTATTGTTGCAATTCTATTGATGTCGCGTATCATTTGTTTATGTATAGAGTTCCTGTCCTTTCAGACATGACGCTGGTGACAGAATCACATATTTTTTCTACCACTACAAGATCGATTTCGGCCATGTTACACAAACGTCTAAAATGCTACACAAACATCTAGGCTGTCTCCCATAACAGGAATCTTTAAGCCGTAGTTTTAAGGATGGCATCAAGCTAAGTTTCGGGCATCGGATCGGCAATCGCGGTGATTGCCGATCCTAAGTGTCGAGTTTGCGTGTTTGCGAATTTTATAGATATTGAAGATAGAGTAGCCATCCTTGAAGCTGACTATAAGGAGTGGCAAGTATTTCGCAAGCGGAAGATGGTGAAAATTATGGCGATTCTAGGCGAGAGTGAGGCAGAAATTTTGTAGCTATATATTTTATTCAAAAAAGATCTAGTTTCAGATAAAGTATGCAGCAGCGACAGCCCACCTGATTTTGGGGTCGTCACAGTGAAAGAGGGTGATACAAATGTCACGACCCAAACTCCATCACATGTTTG